ATTTTTATTTTTTATAAACATATATTTTTATCCCAGGGGTACAGGTCTGTGAATCGCCAGGTTTACACACTTCACAGCACTCACCCCAGCACATACCCTCCCCAATGTCCATAACCCCACCCCCCTCTCCCAACACCCCTCCCCCCAGCAACCCTCAGTTTCTTTTGTGAGACTAGAGTCACTTATGGTTTGTTTCCCTCCCAATCCCATCTTGTTTCATTTATTCTTCAGGGAGAGAGAATCTTAAAGAGCAGGGCTCAGTCTCACTACCCTGAATCATGACCTGAACCAAAATCAAGAGTTGGATGCTTAACTGACTGCGCCACCCAAGTGCTCCTAGGTCCTTATCTCTTGGGAAACTTCCACAAAACTGTTTCTCTTCCATTTCTCTAGTTTTGGTGGAGACTAATAATGCTTTTCATGTTGCCCTCCCGTTTCCCTGCATCCCCTCACCATCTTAGGGTATAGCTGTGGGCTTCTTCTTCTTTTTTTTTTTTTTAATTTGACAGAGAGAGAGAGAGACATAGAGAGGGAACACAAGCAGGGGGAGTGGAAGAGGGAGAAGCAAGCTTCCCGCTGAGCTGAAGCATAAAGTTGATTTGTTAATGCAGAGTCACACATCACTCAGGACATCCGTGGTTAATTGATCTCTGGGACTAGGGTGGTTGTCCCATGGGCATAAGATCCTGCTGATCTTGCTTTTGCTGTCTTCTAAGTAAAATAAATGGTCTAAATCCAAATAGATGCTTTTTCTCCTTACTGACCTTATCTACAGACACGTGGCACTGCCACCAGCTGTGACTTAGCTGCTTGAAACACTTCACATTTACACATTTACATAGTCTCTCATGACATGATTTATCACCAGGTCCCTTAAGCCACTCTTACATCATGACAAGCATATAACTCTAACAACAGCCCAATTCTAGAGTTAATATAAAAAAGAACATTTTAGGGGCGCCTGGGTGGCTCGGTGGGTTGGGCCTCTGCCTTTGGCTCAGGTCGTGGTCTCAGGGTCCTGGGATTGAGCCCCACATCGGGCTCTCTGCACAGCGGGGAGCCTGCTTCCCCACCCTCTCTGCCTGGCTCTCTGCCTACTTGTGATCTCTCTCTTTCTCTGTTGAATAAATAAATAAAAATCTAAAAAAAAAAAAAAAAGAACATTTTGTTATTCAAAAACCAAATTGAGGTTTCACAGGGTAAAATAATTGTAGCAGCTGTCATTAGATATTTTATATATATAGGTATATATATGTGTGTGTGTATATGTGTATATAGGTATATACACATACACACATATGAGTTAAAGTGATACCTTGAAGACGATATGAGAGACATTCAAAAGTGTTACATGGGAAGAAAATCACAATATTTAGTCTGTGTTATTATTTCGCAATTTGAATGCATGTATAAATGTGAAACAAATTACAAGGGAACACAGAAAGGAAATATGTTTTGAGGTAATCGGGTCATGGGATGATTGCTTACTTTTTTCTTGTAAAGTTTGTGCGATCCAAATGAGAGAAATTACCTTTGAAACACCATCATTTTAGCAAAGTTCTTGTGGCGATCACACTGGTAGTCTCAAAATAAGACAAGCACGAAAGTCATAGAGGCTACTATTAATTTTTATTATCTCCTCATTCAGGTTGTCACTATTCATCACAGAATTATCAAGCACTTTCTGCAGGCCAGGGACCATGCTAAGCATCTTACACAGATTATCTCTCCAATAAGCACAACGGGTACTATTTTTATCACTTCATGGAGAGGGTTCATTAGCTTGCTTTAGGGGTCACATGCCTAGCCTGAGATGAAGCTAGGATTTCAAGCAGGCAAACTGGCTCCAGAGCTGTGGGATGTAATGGGAGGTAATCTTCATAGAGCGAATGTGAACTGAAACGATGTTGTAAATCTCACTCTACACTCTGGAACCTTAGGGGGACAAAAACTTGTGCACAATTCTTTCTCATGACTTGAGCATTTCAATTAGATATGTGTGTCCACATTTCTCTTACAGCTTGAAAGCTAGATCTAAGACTACAGTAAGCTAGATCTAAGACTGGATGTCTGCAGTTTATCATGAGCCAATACATTTTACAAAAGTCCATTGCTACATTCAAACTCGCTGTAACTTCATTCTACTTAAGTTTTTAATTGTAATTTTTTTTTAAAAATCACATTTTACTTTAACTCTGTGTAACCTGCAGAAATCTTTGACCAAAAGGAACACTTTTTGTTGTTGTTGTTTGTTTGTTTCCTTTTCTTTATGGTCAGTTAGGTACCATGTAGGTGATAAAAACTGAAAATGGAGAAAATAGATTTAAAAATGGAAAACCAAATGAGCAGTGAAGAGATTGAGAAGGGGAAAGTTCTGAGACAAATGGAGTAAGGGGGACTAAGTTAGGCTGGAAAAGAGAAAGGACTGGGATGGCGAGGGAGGAGGCTCTTTAGGTCAGAAGCAACCTACTTTCTTCTAAGTTCTCACCACGGGTAAATCAACAGATTCAGATGCCTGACCTTGCAAATGTCCTTCAGCTGTTTACAGTTGTCCATGATTCCCCAGCGACTCCATTCGTACCTTTAGTTTCCACTGGTCCAAGGAACTACTGCAGACGTTTTAAGTTTTCAGAGCTGCTGTCGCGGAACACAAAGAAGCCTTCACTCTCCTCTTTCAGGGGGCTCAAGATTGCCTACACTGTTGCCTGTAGGCACATTTTTTTTCTCAAATCATCATCTTGATTTTCTGGTGCAGGAGAGTCGACGGAGATGGGTACACTGGACAGGGACTAGGGTTTCGCATCCCCTTAGGCAAGCCAAATACAGAAAAGCGAGAAGAGAGAGAGAGCTAGGACTGCCAGGCGCTGAAAGGCAGAAATTGGATTAGAATGGAATGGGCAACATATGAGAGAACCAGCCTTCCCGCGACTACCGGCGGTAGAACATCCCGGCAAACTAGTAGTGCAGCCTGTGAACCGCGCGTTACCAAGGCAACCGTGAGGTCTCGCGAGACCGACGGTGCGCCTGCGCACTGCCGCTGTAGGGCTGGGTCCTGAGCCTCCTTACCGCATTCCCAAACGCGGGTCTTCTGTAGTTGGGGACTCGCGGCTCAGTGGGCTGACTCTCTCCATAGTGAGTGACAAGGTGAGATGATGAGATGCGAAGCTCTCAGAGCATTTGGAAGGCGGGGCCAGGGAGGGCGAGGGCTCTGCGCACGCGCGTCGCACGTGGAGGTGGTGCGGTTGCCTTCGTGAGTGGGAGCGGGATGCGGAGGACGCAGGGGGACCGGAGGGGCGCCCCCGGGTGGGATCCGGCCTGGGAGGCGGCGGAGGGCTGCAGGCATGCGAGGTCCCGAGGTCTTCCCCGAGACCCCTCTCTTTCCGGCCGAGCCACCCCCGCGGGAACGGGCGTACTTTCCTGCCTCCGGGCCTTGGTTTACTCTCCTGTCTGGAGTTGAGCATCTGTAGGGTACGGGAGATAGTAAGAGAAAGCCCACCCTGGTCCTTCAGTGCCCCACAGCCTAGAACCGGGGACGGATCACAAAATGTTGGCGAATCTGAGTAGTAAAGAATGAGGGCTCTAGATACGGGCGGTAAACACGGGGACTCTGGGACAGGAATGCAACCAAGGGGAGCTGGGACTGTCCTCCCCTTCGCTACCAGATCTGGAGACCGGAGTCCTTCCTTGTTTTACTCCGGTTGATAGCACCAACCCTGGTAGATTCTACCTCTTAAGTATTTCAGCTCCATCCCCTCTGCGGCGACTCTAGTGCAGGCCACCATCATGCCTACTCTGGGAACCTCTTTCCTCCTTCCACTCTTGGCAAAGGACGCTTCCAGGCGGGGAATCCGCAGAGACCTTGTTGCAATGCCTTTGAAATCACGGCGCGGCACTCTTCTGTTTTAAACGTTACAGTTGCTTCCCATTATAAGCTTTGCAAGGACCTTCACCTCTCGTCCTTGCTTCCTTTCCCTACCTAATATCTCAACATCTCTGCCCCAGCGACATTGAACTTAACTTCATTTCGTTAATGTTGTTCCCTGGGATACTCTTTCTACTTCATACTCCCTTTGGCAGGCACTCTTCAGATGTAGGTTAAAAGGTCACTTTCTCCAGGACCTCTTTTCTGACCCCTTAAGTTGGGCTTCTGCTATTTCCTTAGTATTCTGTAGTTCCTGGACTTGACTGTGCACATCCTGTTATTACCTCGTGATAAGTCTTTTTCATGGATTCTAAGCACCTTGAGACGTAGTTAGCTGTTTTTACTTTAATACTGTATGGCTTGGTGCGTTGTGGATAATCCAGAAATACTTGCTGAGGAAAAGTGGTTGTGGGGCTGAAGGTGGAAGGGAATAATGTGGATGTGGAGGTTAGAGACTGGTGGCCTTGTTCAACAACAGTAAGGGGTTCGGTAGTGGGATGTAATTATGCATGGTGGGAGAGGCCAGTGGAAGGCCAGAGTGTGGAGGGCCTTGTAAGTCACCTTAAAGGGTTTGCCCTTGATCCTGTAGGTAGTGAATGCCTCCGACACCTAGCTCAAAAGGCACCTCAGCAAAGCCTTCCTGTTTTTCTCCTCCAAAACCGTTACCTTCTCATCAATCAGTACTATTTTTGGATTATACGGTGTTAAGATTCTGCTTCTCCAAACTACTTGGCTCGCAATCCCTCCCCTCCCGATTCTGAAGACAGGAGTTCATGCCTAGCTTGCTCACCTTCTGGGACCCACAACATACTTAAAGGATTTCTGTGCTGTTTGAATGCTGAGGCCCATAAGCTGACTTGCAGTTTGGCAAGAGCTCTATTAGATCGTATTTGTCTTGCTCATTTTCCTGACCACCTTCAACCTGATACCAGCCTTTACCAATCCCAACCGGATTTGGCTGAGCTACTTCCTGACTCCCTGAGCTGAAGGGGAACACGGAGAAAATGGGGGATGAGGAGGGCTGTGCAGAGGGGCTGGGATGGAGGAAGCAGCTTGTACAGCAGGTAGAGAGGCCCCAGCAGCACTGGCATGAAGGAGGTCTGATCCTGCCCCCAGGAGCTGAGTTTTGGATTTCTGTTAGAAGGTGACTTAGGAGGTGCAGTGGAGACCAGTGGAGGTTAGGAGGCCATTTCTCATGGCTGTCCAGGGTCAAGAGGCATCCTGTCCTACTCCAGCTGTTGTAACCCTGTTCTGGATCAGACTCACCTGGACAGTTCTTTTGTTTTTGTGTTTTGTTTTGTTTTAAACAAATACAGGTGTCCTGGTCCTATTCTCAGGGATTCTAGTTCAGTACATCCGGGATAAGGACCAACCATCTGGATGTTTTAAAAGGTAGCAGGTTATTTTTGAGGTACAGCCAGGATTGAGAAAGCATAAACTTTGGGTTTGGAAAACCGGTTGTGACTTTTAACCTCTTTCTTCACCCACATATTGGGCAATTCTATAGGAATTTTTTGAGAAGCAAGTAATACATGGAGAAATAGAATCAAGTAATACGTGGAGAAAATGCCTTCTAAATTCTGACACACTCCGTGAAGACACCTGCTCTTTACCATCAGTAGCCAGCCTGGTGAGTGGAAGTTTAATTGGAGAGGATGTAATTATTAACTGTGCATGGGGCATTTGGGGGAAGGCAGGCCTCAGTGGGATAAATGACCACCTGGAATGAGGGACTGTCTGGAGGGAGAAAGTCTGATCATCTGAAAATAGGTACAGTTCCAGATGCCAGACTTCTCAGGGGGCTGGCTCATTTAACTTCCTTCAGTTTTGCCATGCAGGTCACTGTAGTTCTTAGCTGAGCAACAGGATTTAGTGAGGAATAAAACTGAGGGAAGAGAAACATGCTTGTTCTGGGAAGCAGAGCCAGGATATGTTCCTATGTCAGTTGTTTGTAACATTTTCCCAAAAAGGATCCTTACTTTTCTTTAACGGATTAGTGTTTTTAAGTTTCATTGCAAAATTTCCCTAGTTTTCATCAAGTTGCCAGCTACAGAAGCTGTGAGCTTCTGTTAAGAAGGGGGAATATATACCTGTGTACATAGGAGATGTTTAAAGAGGGACATACAAGAAGCTTAGAGTCCAGGGAGGGAGGGAGACTTCTAAAAGGGCATAGAAAGAAAGTATCATTGGAATTTCTGATCGGGTGCATAGATTACTATTCTGGTTCTTGAACACCCACACCTGCCTGCTGATGAAGAGCAGAGGCTCCCGGGCCTGCACAGCTTGGGGCTCCATGCAGGTGGACTTGTTCAGTGCCGAACCCTGTAGCCAGAATGCTGCCTGCACACGGAAGGCGCTCAAGGGGTCTTTGTGGGATGGAGGCCCAAATGGAGAGCAGCTCAGAAAATGGTAACAGGGGCGCCTGGGTGGCTCAGTGGGTTAAAACCTCTGCCTTCGGCTCGGGTCATGACCAGGGTCCTGGGATCAAGCTCCACATCGGGCTCTCTACTCAGCGGGGAGCCTGCTTCCCCCTCTCTCTCTGTCTGCCTCTCTGCCTACTTGTGATCTCTATCTGTCAAATAAATAAAATAAAAATCCTTAAAAAAAAAATGGTAACAGATTTGTAAGATTAATACCGCACAGTCATTAAAAAAGATAATCATGGACAGGTAGAAACACGGAACATTTTTAATAAAGGAAATCAGTAGAATTTCACTGCGATTGCAGTAATGCAAAATACTTATATATTACCAGTATATGAATAGACAAAGTCATGAAAAAATGGGGAGAATAAATTCCTTATTCTTAAAAGAGGTTTTTAGCGTATGGTCATGTCATTGGTTCTATAACGTCGGGCTTGCTATAGCCTATCAGGAATCAGCGTACAAATAGGATATTCTTCGACATGCATTGCTAGTGACACGAATTTACTTTGTCCTCTGCTGCTTTAGGAGGGATTTTCAGAATGGCTGCAGCTCCTCAAGCTCCGGGAAGGGGCTCTGTTCGGAAGACAAGACCTTTAACAGTAAAGACATCATTGAACAACCCATACACTGTCTGCTGGAGCACGCTAGACAGAGAAGACATGCACTTCATGCTACAGACCCTTGAAGACAGATTTAAATCTCTTGGGCTTCAGAAGATGGAAGATAAGAAGAAAAAGAAAAAGCAGTTTTTAAAAAAACAAAGCTCAGACAAATGTAGCACAGAGGTTGGTATGAGTGAGGATCTGAAGGAGAAACACCCAGAAGATAATGAGCAAGGGTCAGGCTGGACTCCTCTCTGTGTCAGGAAGCAGCTGGCCATTGGCGTTAATGAAGTTACCAGAGCTCTGGAAAGGAATGGGCTGCTGCTGGTACTCGTGTGTAAGTCAGCCAAGCCTGCGCTCATCACCTCACACCTGATTCAGTTAAGTCTGAGCAGATCTGTTCCTGCTTGTCAGGTTCCCCGTCTCAGCGAGACACTCGCACCTGTCATTGGCTTAAAATGTGTCCTGGCCCTGGGGTTCAGAAAGGACACCACTGCCTTTATTGATGAAGTCAAAGCCATAATTCCCCGAGTACCCAGTCTACACGTACCATGGCTCCAGGGCAGACCGGAAGAGTCCACGGAAAATTTAGACACTGAATCTTTGGAAAGCCAAGACAAAGAAATTTTGGAGACTTCCTTTGAAGACCTCTCTAAACATAAAAGGAAGCCTGTTGAAGGTCAGCAGGCTGTAGTGTTACAACCCCTTAAAATAAAGAAAGTGATTCCAAACCCCAATAAGATAAGGAAACCACCCAAAGGTAAAAAAACAACTTCAAAGTAATTTTATCTAAACTTGTCATATCACAGAGCTGTAAAATGACGCTTTGTAAAGTAGCCTTGAAACTAATAAAATGTGTTATTTTTACATATATTCTTGGGATACTTTTAGTAACATTTCTTTCATATGTGTAAGACTATAAATAGGCTGATGCTTAAAAACAAGTGCAGAAAATTTTCAAAAGCATGAATAGCAAAACAAAAATTTATTGAAACTAATGTCCATGCTTGTATAAGTTCACTTTTTAAAAGGCTGGTACAATGCTTGTAAGCAAGAAATTCTGTATCCTACACCACTTGACATCTTTCTATCAGACTTGGAAAATGAGCCACAGTAAACAAGTTCTAGTTAGTAATGCAGATGAAACTGGACTGGAGATCGATCAGTTTTAAAAGAAAGATAGTAAACACCAAGCAATACATTGTCTTCAGAAACATCAGAAAAAAATTTTTTTTTTTTTTAACTTCCTGTTGACTTTGTAGGTAGGCATATGCATGAGCTTAATGTTTATAGGAAAAAGCCAGATATGGTATTCTGAATGGTTGAAATTCATCCCTCTACATGGTTAACTTATTTCCTTGGAAATTTAACATGGGTAAAAAAGTATGCTGGTAATTAGGTCAAATGTAGAATTAAAAAATAAAATGAGGAGCTTGAGGTCTCAGAGATGGGTTTGTGCAATGACTGGGGTTCTTCATGTTAGGAAATGGAGTGTAATCAATCTTCTATGTGTGGTTTAAAGTGTCTGCTATTTGCAGTATGTGTTTGGAAAAGGTCCTTTTGTTATTTAGGAAGGTACTGGACTGCTAAAGTCGACTTTCAGCCTAAATTCTGGCTGACTCTTGGATTATGCCACCTCTGTTCATTTAAATTTTACTAAATGCCATCCTGGCTGAAACAGGGGGGAGGGGAGGGAAAGATACCTCATGGAATAGAGCATTTCCATTGTTGACAAAGATGTAGGACAACGCTTTTTTCAATCTATAAGACACTGTATATTGCAGTGAAATTTAATCCTAATAACTATCAACACAAGCAGTTTTATCATTTTTCAATTTTGAAATGTTCACTGGTAATCTCTAAATTATGACGAGGGCTTATAAAAAGGAAAATATGCTATTAATTGCTGTACTTAAAAATGAGTAAAAGCATCTGAATTCTATAAACAAATAAAAGTGCCACAGTTTTATCACAAGGCGAGCTTGTGATATACTGACTGGCAGTTCTTCAATCATCTGAAAACCTACATCATTAGGATTGTGCCTTAAAAATGAGTGGAACACAATTCCCCACTAGAGCCTTGACTCCAGATTAAAATCCCATTTACTTAATTCTTGGTGTTTTGGTGGATTGGTTCAGTTTTGCTTCCGAAGCTACCCCCCTCTGTTAAGAAAGAATGGTAATGCAGTGGAGTCCGAATCGTCCTATATGAGAAGTCTTCTCTGGGTCTTCAGAGAGGTAAACACAGCTGTCTGAATTACGTGCTACTGTGCGGTCCCCGAATGCCCTCTAGTGGTAGTCACAGCTGTGGGTCTGTCTTTAGGATGATGGTAGGAAGGTGTGGAGAGTGGCTTTCAGCTCTAGTGTAAGTCAGGGTCAACAAATCCC